GCTTTTTAACTCTAGATTTGAACCGGATGAAGGATTTTAGTCATCGGACGTCTGGATCTTAAGTTATCAGAAAAACAAGCTGAGCTAACGTTAGCATTAGCTCGGCTCGCAACTAACAAACATGTTTTGTCCCCAATAATTAGCTAACGTTAAATTAGCGCCTACATGTCCCCACATCTAATGCAGATAATCACGTCTTCCAGACTCATCATTATGGTTTATGGGGACCAATAAAAGGAGTTTGTGATTGTTGGGACAGTAGAAAGACTAACAAAGACGGTTTTGGTGAGTTTATTTAGATTCTGTCGTGTTTTATTACCTACAAGGTAAAATGACTGGTTTTGTGAATGGATTCTGGTGGGTTGTAGAGCCTGTTGTTTTGGTCTGAGATCGTGGTGCTCTAGTGTGACATCTAGTCGAGTTTCATACATATAACCGAACTTTAAGATTTTAAAATAAATAAACTGGAAATATTAAAAAGTCAGCCAAATCATGAAGCTAACGTTATCTTAGTTTCACCTCCAGTGACATTAACCTGAAACTGTGACAGCAAAATCTATTTTCTCTGTTTAAATGTAGTTTTTTGTAAGAAACAGATGAAGCTCCATTAAACTCATCTGACTGATAATCTGAAAGTTTAATCTCAGAGTTCTGGGAACATTTCTGCAAAAACTGTCCATCCAGCGTCCAGATGTTGAGTCATTAAAGGCTTTAAACAGATGTTCTGTTACACAACAGCTGGCAGACAGCTGGAGATAAACCGGTGACATTTAATATGATCCACCTTTACATAACTGCTCTGAAACCGCCATCACCATGGTAACCAGTAATCCATCCAATAGTTGTTAAGCATTAATGATGCAAAGCGTCTCACCGCAGCGTCTCGTTGTAGATCTCCACCATGCTGACGGTGATCTTGTAGTCCCAGTCCGGAGCTTTCTCCGTAACCTCGGAGAACAGCAGGCGGAGAGCTCGCTGGTTGATGCCAGGGTCGTCCACCACGCCCTGAACGCACGCGCACACACACACACACACACAGACACAGACACTGATGTGTAAATAAAGGACCGACAGTCGACATAAAACCACATCACTGAGAAACAAACTCTCCTACCTCCATTGTGTACGTTTTCCCCGATCCGGTCTGTCCGTAGGCGAAGATGCAGACATTAAAGCCGTCGATACAGGAAGTGACCAGAGACTGGACCTCCTGGAACACCTGGTGGACCAATCAGAGAGACCGTTTACTCATCTGGAGAATCCACCAAAAGAAACACTGAATGAAGACCAGCGCTGATCCTTTTTTTTGTTTGTTATTGCTGCCTGCTTTAATTTATTTTATTTAGTTTTTAGTATAACTTTATAACATTATACTTGTAAAATGAATTGTGTTGTATTTTATTTCTACTTTTTATCTTTGTATTCTATTTTTAAATCTACTTCATTTAATTTTTATTCTATTCTGTCTCATTACCTGTGAAGCACTTTGAAATGCAAATAAAGTTTGATTGACGGATTCAACCCCTAGACCTGCCTACACGGTCACCCTGTCACATTCATCTATCATTAAGGCCTCATCTGGGGCAGGTTGTACCAGCTGGTCTTCACTAATCCTGATCCAAACTGCTACTAGAGTGTAAAAAACATTGTTGTTAGAGGATAATCCTTGTTAACGGCACATAAAAGTCAGACCGTCACACACAGTTACTTCTTACTGAATGTCATTAATTTCCACCTTTATTGCTTTAACACAAACTGAAAGGAGGAATCAGTAACGACTGCCCTGGATGAAACCGACGCAACTAACAGGTCGGACTTAGAAGTTACTCAGTTTCTGAGTGTTTTGTCACTTCCTGCGAGGAGGCGCCCACCTCTTCCTGCGTGGCCTGAGGGGCGAAGACTTTGTCCAGTTCAAAGGTCATGATCTTGCCCTTGTTGGAGAGGTAGAGGACGGCGTCGTCCTCTGAGTCGAAGCTCAGCATGGTTCTGGCGTCGGCGGAGTCCTGCTCCTCCTGACTGACGGGCCGGACACGGCAGAAAACACGGATGTTACCTTGGAAACAGAGAGCGGGAACACGGGGGGGGTTTCAGACCAGAACAGGACGTATCGACTTTTCATCAACTGGTTTTCTATTAATTTCTATTATAAATATCTATAAATAAATACTCTCGGGAAGTTTGGAGATTTTAACAACATTCAGGGAAGTTTTAAACAGGTTAAAATAATATTTGAGGATTGCTTTATTTTCTTCTTAATTCATTAATTTAAACCTTTTAAACATGCAAACAATAAGAAATACAGATTGAATTTAACACTCAGACTAGTTAATGTCTTTACACTAAGGTCAAATTGGTCATGATTTTAAAGCCATGAAAATGACTTAAAGAAAACATGTTTAATAAGCACATAACTACTGTTCTAGTAGTTACTGCAGTTAGCTTCTGGAGGGCAGTATTAATCATATAAACCTCAAAAATGGATTCAAAATCAATCAAAATCTGTCACTATAGGTCACTTTTGGTTTGAAAATGGATTCAGGATCCTCAATAATCAACCAATCAGCCAATCAGCTGCTGAGATATTGTCCATAAAGCTGATTATTAATGCTAATGATGCTAACTGGAGGAAATACTGGATAAAAACAGACTGAACGCAGTTTCAGACCTTTGAGTCGGACCAGCTCGTTGTGACATTTCTTCCTTAGGTTCATCTCTCGCTTGTATTTACGAAGCAGCTCCTGATTGGTGCTGCTGACCTCGCTGATCACCTGACAGATCTGACACACACACACACACAATCAGAATAAAGAGCTCAAACAGAGTGAAGACATGTAAACACAATCTGATCACATGATGAATAAAAACTTCTGTCACATCTTATAAAATCCTTCACGTACATTAAAGCTAAACATACTTTTAGGACCTTCATATAAACGTATAAATATGGTTCCTGGACAAGTTATATGTTGAAAATAACCAATTCAAACTGAAATGACTTTAAAGGAGCAGTGTGTGAAATATTCATGACTGTTAAAAACCTGAAGATTAACAGCTGGAACGTCTGTATATTCTGCTAATAAACCAAACTCCATTCAGAAAACAAGCATTTTAAAAGTGGTTTGTTCATCTTCTCGCTCACAGGCCGACAGAGTCAGCATCATGATGTCGTTATTTCAGCATCATATTGATCCGTTTATTGACGTTAAATCACAGAAACAGCTGATTATT